CTACATCCCATCATGTCATAAAGTTGTATTAGCTGTTGCAGCACCTTAGCTATCAATTGTAGCAGCTAAGCAACTAGTTTTTTGTCTGACTGTTAATTACATTGTACAGTCCTATAATGTACCACCGAGTATATTGATTTTAACACGTCTGAACGTACACTGATTACTGTAACAATTTACTTAGTGATGTACCACCTAGTATATTAATGTTGACACATTGATTGCTGTAACAATTTACTTAGTTATGAGATGACGAAATAAATACAATCAAAACTTTCAATGGGCTTCATCGGTTAACATTTCAATAAAGCTAAGTAATTATTAATAATTAATTTAAAATTATAGTTTTCCTCGGTAACGTAATCTATGTTTGTTAACATTCACTTTCGTGTATGGAGTGATGTGATTACAGTAATAGTTCAAAATATTGCGTTAGATACAAATGCTTTACAATTTCAAATTACAGTAGTAATGCAATATTATAACTAATGTCAAACGTTTGAAGTATGTTGAAGAATTTTAAAGTATTTATTAAAATTAATCGCAATCCCGGTCATCAATTTCCGAGCAACCTTCTAACTTTTCAAAAGGGCTTGTCTAAGTCAAGTATTGACGTATGAAGTATTGTATGCTTTATTCACAAAGATATTGCTGTGTTTGTTACCAACACTCCGATGTTTGAAGTTAAAGAAATGAAACAATCTAATTCTCAAATAATCAGTTCTGCTGAAACCTTTTGTTGATTATTAAGATTCGCCCAAGTTTATAACAGTGCTACACTGAAATTCTGATTGACAGAGGCGGCTTTCTTTTTAGTGAGAAAAAAGACCGGGGCGAAGGACAGTCATTTTAAAAGCTTTATTACACTTGAGAACTCTACCTGCTCTATGACATACATTTTATTCTCCTAATTTGTGAAGGTCAAACATATGTATCACACAGTGAATCACTCTCTTTCTCCGGGCTACACATGAAATTGTTTAGGGCCCATTAACTGATCTTTTGGAGCCGTTGCTAAGGAGAATGTATTCTCATGTAACCTCATCATTTTTAGTTAGTTCAGAGTTATTTCATATGTTTTAACTTTTTCATGATCAGTAACACTATTGATGACGTCACCAGGCCACGCCCATGGTCATGTGACTAATACTGAAAAAATGCAAAGGCCCCCAGGCAAATTACTTTATGGGGATTTTTTTCATTGATTTAATCATTTAATTTAAATCCTCATTAAGCTATGCATAGCTTTTGGTTTGTTTCTGAACGGTCAGATTTTGAGAGAATTTCAAAATATTGAAAAGCTCGTAATTTTCTGAAAAAAGCATGATTTCGTAAAAGGAATGCATAGCTATGTTTCCAACGATGGCTTTAATCGAAATTCAAACAAAGTCACACGGAGTTAGTTTTTCTCTTTCTATTGCTCTTGTTTTTCTGTATTTCGCTTATTTTGTCTTTGCATATACTCTTTTTACTTTACATTTTGTGAAAAACAAAGAAAAACCTCCAAAATGTAAGCGAATTTGCAAGTTT